TTTTTGAAAATTTTTTAACATGCAAGGTTCTTATTTATTTTTCAAAAATAGAAGAAATAAAAAAATAAATAAATATATGTTTTTAAACAAAATTAAGGAAATTAAATTTTAAATACCAAGATTAAGACATTTTTTATCAAAATTGAAATATAACACATAATTAATTGGTACCATTTTTAACAGACACTATAGGGTTGTTAATCCTTCCTTACACATAATTAACTCTTGAACATAAATTATTTTATAGACCTAAAAATTATGTTTTTGATAAAGTTTTAATTAATTTTAAAATTTTTATTAAAAAAGTAAGTTTTAATAGGTGGCTAATAACACCTAATCAAAAAAAATTGGTAGCAACTTCTTTTTGTTTTCAAATTCGTCTAACAACCTTCAAAACTGTTACGACAATAACAACAAAAAATATATATGTTTTTTTTTATTATTAAAATATATACAATAGGTGAGTGCTTAAAATTTTGAGATTTCAAGGCTTTATCAGCTTGTAAATGGTTTAATTAGATTTATACAATAAGGTTTGGCTAGAGCCTAGGGCTTGTAGATCTTAAGCAGTTTTTGCTTTTCTTTTTGGCTAAAGGTGTTAAGTAGTTTTTATGTTTTCTTGAACTTATAGTTTAATTTAATTAGTTCATGTAATTATTTTTAAGAAATAAAATTTAGTAAATTTGATATTCAAATCTTAATACCTACAATTTCTTTTCCTATTCTTAAGTTGTAACCTCTTTTGTTAAAAAAAAAATCTTTTATATAAAAAATAATGAATAACGTAACTTGATAATTACATGAAAAAAATAAAAAAAACTATATTTTTATATTTTACTAGTTTTTGAACAATATTTACTAAATTAATTGCAGTTTACATGTTATCTCTAACTTATTTTTACAAGTATTTATTTGTTCGATTCAATTAATTTTGAATTAAATGACTCAAAATTGAATTAAATTATTTTATTTTTGTTAACCGAGCCAAATTTTTTAATTTAAAAAATTAATTAATTCAATTCGTTCGGTTAATATTTTTGATTAATTAAATAATAAAATATATTAAATTAAATTATATTTTAAATTCTTAATTTTTTATATTTAAAACAAAATAAATAAAATCATCTAATAAAAATTTAAATACCAAAGTATTAAGTTGAAAAATTTTAATAACTTAAAATGAAATGGATAGTTTCATATATTTTTAATTTTATATGTAGGTTTTACTATATTCAATTACTTCAATTTTTAAATAAAATTAATCAAAAATAAAAAATTTTTTTAAAATTAAATTTGATAACAAATCAAAATAATTTGATGACAAATTAATTAATTGAATTAAATCGATTCGATAAATTAATTCAATAAAATCAAAATTTAAACACTCTGCCAATTTCATTGTAGGAGGAGATTATAGATGATGTTCTGCTTAAATTTTGTAAGAAAAATTCTTTTTACCTAAAAAAGAAAAAAAAATTGCTGTTGCTTTACTGACCTAATTACTGTATCCATTTTGAATTTTCCTTGGATAAAAAATATTGTGAAAATATATATATATAAACAACATATTCTCATGTTAAGTTATTGGCAGAAGTTCAGAAGTTTCTAGAAAACATGGATAAACTCAACTTATTAACAATATAATTATCCCTGAATAAATTAATATATTGTAACTCATAAATAAACCCAAAAAATAGAAAAAAGTTGCAATATACTGCAACACATTAAATTTGTGATTCCATGTGTCGTTATTTCCCTTTGAAATTTCGAAAACTCTATCCTAATCCTTTCTTATTGCTAAATTCCAACTAGAAGTTTCCATGACTTTGGTGGATCAGTTGGTCCCATGATTCAAATTTTTAAAATGTTGATCATGGATTTTAATTTTAAATGATTAATCAATTTCTTTTAAAAAATTAAATTTCATTAAGATTAAATTTTGATTTTCAACACTTGTGAGCTTTGTTTATTTATTTATTTTAAAATTTTGATTCTTTTTATAAAAAAAATTTAAATTCGACTCAAGTAAATTTTTAATTTATATTTATTATTTATTGTTTTTCTAAATTGTTCAAATATTAATGATTTCACGAAATTTGAAAAAAAATGATTTTAATGTACTTAATATAAAATTTAAAAATATTACGATTTTAGTATTAAAAAATAAAAAATATTTTAAAATATTAAAAAATAAGAGTTTTAGATATTAAAAAAATAATTTTGAGACATTAAAAAAAAAAAAATGAAATAAAAAATTTAACTATATAAAAAAAACTTATACTAATATATTAAATATATTTAAAATTTAAAATTAAATAATTATTTTTAATAGAAATAATATTTCAAATCTAAATTTAATTATGTCCAAACACATAAGTTTGACCCATAATCCAACCCATGGACACGTGTATTTCCACCATAAAATTGAAGAATTATATTCAAGTAAGATCCATTCGCATTTTTGTTTTTTTTATTTGTTTGCTTGAAAGTTGAAAACTTGACCCCATTATTTTCCTGGAACCATCGAATTGAAAAAAAGGCCCCTCCTTCATGCCCTGATTGAAGACTTTTAAATCTATAAGTCATTTGTACTACATTTCTTACAGTCGTGATAAAAAAAAAAAAATGCTGCATTTTAGTACCTACCATAAATTGGTAAAAATAGATGAAATTAATAATTAATAACAACATAACCTTTGACTTGAGTATAACTAAAATCGTATACCAACATTAATCATTGAATGCCAAATATTATAGTATTCTTTTTTTAAAATTTTTTTTATATAAAGTATATCTCAATTTGAAAATAAAAAAAGGGATTGCATGTGATAGAATTTAAATTCTAAATGCTTAATTTTTTTTAAATAATTGCATGAATTAATTAAATTAATTATGATTTTTTTTATTTGTAGTTTTAAAAAGAAAATAATGGTAAAACTTTTCTCTTCAGATTCATTTAATTTAATATGCCTATTCTAAGAGGCAGATAATGCTGAACTACTAAATCCAAAGCCTCCTTATTAAATTACTTGTAAAAAGATTATTTTGAATAAAGTTTCCTTAATAATTAATAAGTTTTAATTCCTTAAAAAAAATCTTAATTAAACTTCATAAAAATAAACAAGCGAACAAAGAAAGGAAAATGGAATTATACTAGTTAATTCTATAATATTTTAATTTATGAATTTTTTGGAATAATTTTATGATTTTATTTAAATTTATTTAATTCATCCAATTCTAAATTTTAAAAATAAAAAACTAAATTAATATAATATACCAATTAAATTTTGAATTCAAATATACAAAAGTATATTATTCACTTAGAAAAAAAAATTGAAGCAGGGATTTTTAGGAAAAAGGGTTTGCGTGGGAATGAAATCATTCCAAAACCCTATCTCTCTGGTCTGAAAAAAGTGCACCAAACAGAAAAGAAAAATTTTATGATAATAGCATCACAGTATGTTACCCAAATTCTTGTTTAAAAATATGATTGCACGAAAATTTTTTTGTTTAATTTTTTGAAATGTTTTAAAATTATATTTTATTTAATTTTTTAATTTTTTAAATATTTAAAATTTTTATTTTTATATTTTAAAATTATTTTATTTTTTAATATTAAAAATCATAAAATTTTAATTTTATAAAAAAATTTGAATTTTGGTATTAAATACATCTAAATTAAAATTTTTTAAACTCAATAAAAATTAATTTTAAATAAAAAAAGTAATAATCATACTGTAACGTGGCTCCAGTGGCATTCAATTCAGCCAAGTAGTTGGAAAAAGCAAAAGAAACATCAAACAAGTCTACCTTTTCGCCTCATTTAACACCCTTAAACTGATTGCAATAATACCAAATTCTCCTTTTTTTTTTTTTAATTTGAGTAGTCCTCACCTTCTAGAAACAGAAATATGAAAAAAAAAAAAAAAAAAACCTTTTTTTTTATTTTTTTATAATTTTCTCCCATTACTATCCAAGAACCTTCTTCGCTCGATGGCGTGAGGAGCTGCCAAAGTCCGGACTTTTCATTCTTCCTGTTCAAATAAAAAAAGAAAATTTGGGTTTGGTTTTTTTCAAATGAAATGAAACATATTTGATTCAGTCATCTTTCCTCGTCGCCACCCATTAAGACTCTTCCTCAGAGCTTTTTCTTGCAAAGACGTCCTCTATTTTTTTTTTTTTTTAATTTTTAACAAAGCAGGCCCGTAGCAGCCTCTGTGGAAATGGGAACGTCCTCATTTTTATTTCAATGCCTTGACTTTGGACATTTCCATCTTTCAAAAACGCCATTCCAACAACAACAACAGAATGGAAAACCCTCCAACCCCAAGCTCTATAATTAACACATCTCCTTTTCATTACGCAGATACTCTGTTATCCCTTTCAATGTCTTGTTCTTAAAGCTACTTGCTTTTAGATTATATACCGACGATCATAAACAACAGGTTCTTTCATTCTTTCTCGCTTCTTTGTATTTGTATTTGTATTTGTACCATAGTTTTATATGTATACATACTTCTTTTTAATTTGTAAATTATTTTGTAGTACTAGGTGTGGCTTTTCGAATTCTGGGTTGTTTTTTGTTTCTTAATATCTGTTGCTGAAGTTTGGTTTTTAGCAAATTTGGGTGAAATCACAATCTGGGTATTTCTTGAATTTTGTTGATTTGTTAACTTTTGAGCTGTTGGAGATGTCTTTGATCCATAGATCATAGCCTCAAAAGTGGTTCCTGTAGATTTTTGTTACTGTATTTTATATTCCTCTGATCTAAGAGAAGAAAGTTGAAGGGGATCCTGGATTTGTTTTGGGGATGGATTCAAAAATCCCAGTTGAGAATTTGTTTAGTATTGAACCCGTTCTAAGTTCCTCGTCAAGAAGGAGCATTTCTACTCATTCCAAAGCTTCGAGTGGGGAATTCCATTAGGGAAGTGAATTTTAGTGATTTGGGGTCAAAACCTGTAAGATATGGATCTCATGGTGCTGAGTCAGAGACATATAGCATGTCACAGAAAGAGATCAATGATGAAGATGCTAGGTTGGTACAAATAAATGATCCTGTCAAGACAAATGAGAGGTTTGAGTTTGCTGGGAATTCCATTCGGACTGGAAAGTACTCAATCTTAACATTTTTGCCTAGGAACTTGTTTGAGCAGTTTCACAGAGTTGCCTATATATACTTCCTTGTGATTGCCGTGCTTAATCAGCTGCCTCAGCTTGCGGTTTTTGGCCGTGGAGCTTCCATTATGCCATTGGCAATTGTCCTTCTGGTTACAGCAGTTAAAGATGCATATGAGGACTACAGGCGCCATAGGTCGGACACGATTGAGAATAATAGGCTAGCATCAGTTTTGGTAAATGACCACTTTCAACAAAAGAAATGGAAGAACATTCAGGTTGGTGAGATAATCAAGATTCATGCAAATGAAACTATTCCTTGTGATATGGTTCTGCTCTCAACTAGTGATCCGACTGGGGTTGCATACGTGCAGACTATTAATTTGGATGGAGAGTCCAATTTGAAGACACGATATGCAAAACAGGAGACCGTTCTAAAGATTACTGAAAAGGAGAAGATTGCTGGGTTGATTAAGTGTGAGAAACCCAACAGGAACATATATGGGTTTCAGGCTAACATGGAAATTGATGGGAAACGGGTGTCGCTTGGTCCCTCCAATATTATACTTCGTGGCTGTGAGCTCAAAAATACTGCTTGGGGCAGTTGGGGTTGCCGTCTATGCTGGCCGTGAGACCAAAGTGATGCTTAACAGCTCAGGAGCCCCATCTAAGAGGAGCCGGCTTGAGACTCATATGAACTCGGAGATCATCTTCCTCTCACTGTTTCTTATTGCTCTGTGTACAGTTGTCTCTGTCTGTGCTGCTGTTTGGTTGAGGCGCCACAGAGATGAGTTGGACTACTTGCCCTTTTACAGAAGAAAGGACTTCTCTGAGGCAGAAGAAGAAAATTATAATTATTATGGATGGGGATTGGAAATATTTTTCACATTCCTTATGTCGGTAATTGTGTTCCAGATCATGATCCCCATCTCGTTGTATATTTCCATGGAGCTAGTCCGGGTTGGTCAGGCTTACTTCATGATTCGAGATACCCAAATGTATGATGAATCTTCAGATTCAAGATTTCAGTGTCGGGCTTTGAATATTAATGAGGACCTAGGGCAAATAAAATATGTTTTCTCTGACAAAACTGGTACACTTACTGAGAACAAAATGGAATTTCAGTGTGCCAGCATTTGGGGGGTAGATTACAGTGTGGGAAAGGCCACTTCACAAGATCAGGAAGATGGTTACTTTGTCGAAGGTAAACAATAAATATATTTTTACTACTTCTGTGTTAGAAAGGAATTTTTTTGAGGTTTCTGTAGCAATTTTCTGAATTAACTTTTCCTCTTTTTTTTGAATCAGTGGATGGGAAGGTTTTGAGGCCTAAGATGAAGGTAAAGACTGACCCAGAGCTTCTACAAATTGCAAAGAATGGAAAAGAGACAAAAGATGGCTGTCATGTCCATGATTTCTTCCTTGCACTAGCAGCTTGCAATACAATTGTACCTCTAATCCTTGATACACCTGATCCTATTGTGAAGTTGATAGATTACCAAGGGAGTCTCCAGATGAACAGGCATTGGTCTATGCTGCTGCATCATATGGATTTATGCTGATAGAAAGAACCTCTGGCCATGTTGTTATTGACATTCAAGGAGTTAGGCAAAGGTAATCTGAAGTGCTGACTTCTATCTTCTTGAATTCATTTACACCATTTCTGTTATATTGTTATATTATGATGACCTCCACCTGCATTAGTACTAGTAT